ACTGACCCTCACACAGTACGGCACTCCCTCAGCACTGACCCTCTGACAGTGCGGCACTGCCTCAGCAATACACAGAGAGATTGCTCGCCTAGGTGTTGTGATTTAGTTTGAATTAGGTTGCAGTGAACAGCAGCCACTGTCTCGGTGTGACGATTGCTGACTGCGAGTGCGGCGACCCTCAGGGGAGCGAGAGGTCCCTCTATTGGACCGCATCGTCCTCTAAAACCCCGAAAAGAAAACCCGCGACCCGATGACAATTGAACGCGATTCGGTACCTGCCCCGGATCCAGCTCCAACGGTAAACAAACGGTAAACTGGGCCAAACAGGCAAACAACAGCAGCCATGGGCCAACCGCCACGCAACCGGAAAGTGGATCGCGCAGAGCCACTGTCGCAAACCAGCCGCCGTAAAGTAACACATGGAACCAAACGGCCGCCATCTTGGTGAGGACATATTGACACTCCGTGGAAATGTTGGAGTTGGCAATTTGCAAAACATTAGAAAGTCATATCAAGCCAATGTGTGTCAAATGACTTTCCTACGGTGTCACTCCAGAACAGGAGTGAAGAGCAAGAACACTGCGTTTCATCTCATCATCTGTCTTTTGTTTCATATGAAATGGATACAGTCGTAAAGGCAAAACCTGCCAAACTGTATTGCCACACAGCAAAGAATAAGCCAGTCAGTTCACCGTGTTTGTGTGCCAGCTTTTGGGTTATTTCTGACAACATGCAAATGATACCTTTATTTCCCCCATTTCTTTTTGAAAATATTGAATAGCTTCCACCACCTTCTCAGGCAGGGCATTCTAGATTCTAACACCAAGAGGGAGTAACAGGGTATTGGCTGGATACAGATCTGCCAACCCTCATAATTATTTCGATAATTACAGCCAGTATCTCACCCAAATCCACCTTTGGTCACAACCTTATGTGAAATTTTGTGATTATTCTGCTGATGATATTTGTGGGAGTGGCTCCAGACTAGGTTAATCTCTGGCGCATGGTGACTTGGTGATAGATAGTAATGTTGTAAGGCTGCAAAGCTGCTGTTTCTGGCTACCTTTTTAAACAGGTAAATCAATACCTTGTGGAATAGGGTGGAAATGGCCAGCCAGATGGGGCTGTGGGTCCATTCAATTGGTTGAGTTTGCTAAAGGTAGTGAGTCAAGGGTTGAAATGTCAGAATGATTTTTGCAGAGAAGCATACATCATCAGACTCACACTTCAGAGCACAGTGATCAATACTGGAACAGGGGTAGCATGGTGGCTCAGTGGTTAACACTGCTGCCTCACAGCACCGGGGCCCCTGGTTCAATTCCAGCCTTGGGTAACTGTCTGTGTTGAGTTTGCACGTTTTCACTGTGTCTGCATGGGTTTCCTCCGGGTTCTCCAGTTTTCTCCCACAGTCCGAAGACAGGTGGATTGGACATGGTAAATTGTCTTTACTGTCCAGGGGCTAGTTGGGTCATCCACACATGATAAATGTGATGTTATAGCAATAGGGTTGGGG